CCTGCGCAAACGCGGGGCGCAAATAGTTTAGGACACTTTATAAGGGGGGCGATGACGGAGCGAGGGTTACATATGTCTGCAGACGGAATTCGGGAGACTCGCAGGACACTGGCCACAGGACAAGGACTAGATAAAGCTGATTAATGACAATCCCGACGGTGACGAGAATGACGACGCCGACGACGATGACGACGCCGACGGCGACAACGACGACGACGACGACGACGACGGCGGCGACGACGCCGACGACGTCCCAGGCAAGCGGCGAACGTCCTGCTCCTCATTCGCCTCCTCCTCCTCCTCCTCCTCCTCCGACTCCGCCGCCTCCTCCTGACCCGCAGCCCCTCCGGCCCAAGGATACGAGGGTCGATTGTGGATCCGCGTAGCGCGTCACTGTGCTGGGCCCCCCAGCAGGCCTCGAAAGTGGCGACAGTTTCACAGATCGCAGCCCCCCAGGGATGGCGAGGTCTAATTTGGGTCTGCGTGTGGCCTCACTGTGCTGGACCCCCCAGCAGGCCTCGAAAGTGGCGACAGTTTCACAGATCGCAGCCCCCCCAGGAATGGCGAGGTCTAATTTGAATCTGCGTGTGGCGTCACTGTGCTGGGCCCCCCAGCAGGCCTCGAAAGTGGCGGCGGTTTCACAGATCGCAGCCCCCCAGGGATGGCGAGGTCTAATTTGGGTCCGCGCGTGGCGTCACTGTGCTGGGCCCCCCAGCAGGCCTCGAAATTGGCGACAGTTCACAGATCGCAGCCCCCCAGGGATGGCGAGGTCTAATTTGAATCTGCGTGTGGCGTCACTGTGCTGGGCCCCCGAGCAGGCCTCGAAATTGGCGACAGTTTCGCAGATCGCAGCCCCCCAGGGATGGCGAGGTCTAATTTGGGTCTGCGCGTGGCGTCTCTGTGCTGGGCCCCCCAGCAGGCCTCGAAAGTTGCGGCGGTTTCACAGATCGCAGCCCCCCAGGGATGGCGAGGTCTAATTTGGGTCCGCGCGTGGCGTCACTGCGCTGGGCCCCCCCGCAGGCGTCGATAGTAGCGACAGTTTCACAGATCGCAGCCCCCCAGGCATGGCGAGGTCTAATGTGGGTCCGCGCGTGGCGTCACTGTGCTTGGCCCCCCAGCAGGCCTCGAAAGTAGCGACAGTTTCACAGATCGCAGCCCCCCGCAGGCAAGACAGGAGGAGGCAGGCAGGAGTCAGGAGGGAGGCGGGAGGAGACGCGCGAGGTGCTATTCAAAACGAATACCCAACCAAGGAGAGTTGGGAATAAAGCAGGGAGGAGGACGCAGGAGGAGGGAGGGAGGCGAGAGGAAGGAAGGTGGAGACCACAGTCCCTTATTCAAGACGAATACCCAACCAAGGAGGGTTGGGAATTATATCGGGATTTCGGGTCAGACATATGCGGGTACAAACCCCCAAGCGAAGATACGAGACGAATCAATGGTGCACGCATGCCACAAACACGCTGGTCATTCCGACTAGTTAACTCAGTGTCTCCTCTGGGACGCCCGTGACATTGGATAGCTGCGTCATCTTCTCAGCGAACGCGAAGCAGAACGCAACCTCTGATCACCATGTTTCTAGGCACACCATCACCGCTTGACAAACACAATGACATTGAGGGCGCTCTGTGCCTTTGTACACTGTGCCATACGCGGCAACAAACTTGCCAATGAATCAACGCATCCGATATACCCATATGATTGAACATTCGACGTGGAACCTCTCTCTGGCCATCCCACATCCCACCTATAAGTTTCCCGCGCATGCGTTCCCATTTTAGGCCATGCCAAACCGCATCCACAGTGAGCAACAGCAACTCAACAGGCTGCAAATCAGTTGCCAGTGTCAAAAGCGTCCTCGGCTCTGGATGATCTGTGCAATATCTGATGCTGCTGGTGTCAAGCTGGATCGCACCAGTTCTTTCCGACTTGTCTCCGAGGCATGCACAAACGATACTGCCCACCCACCTGCCAATGAATGCAACCCTCCCTGCCCCCCAGAAACACCCCGAACCTCCCAGAACATTCAACATCATGAGGCACCGTTCAAAAACCCTTTCGGGCGTTGGCAGAACTGGGTTTAGTGGAACCTGGTTTAGTGACTTGTACCGGTGGCGCCCCCCCGCCCCATTTCCACTGACCAGAACTGCCGTCACCCGAAAAACACCAGTTACGGCAAACCTGGTGTAGTGAATCTGGCCAATTGAAGGGCCCCAGGGCCCTACCACTAACCGGGTCGACACTTGCACACCTATATCATCCATGCTCGCTCGATCCCCACGCATCTGCGATCAGACTCGGCAGAAGCGCGGCGCATCCACTGGGCCCTGGTGCAGGGTCGCTCGGTGTGCGATCCGGAGTCTCACCCACCAGCCCACCCCTCCAGCTCGGCCCGCATCATTGCGTGCGTCGTGCTTTCCCTGCCCAGGGGGGCGGAGAGAGAGGCAAACGAGGAGCCCGAAAGCCCTCGACCGCCACAGGCCTCACCATAAGGGACGTCCGCGCGGCTGCTGTTGGATCGCCGTGCCGGCTCCGGCTGGCCCCAGCCGATGCCAGCGAACCTTGGTAGACCCCAAACGTGGTGGTGACAACACCTGGCGGTGAGTCTCGGGCGATTTGGTGTCACCACCCGGTTTCGGGACTCGTGCGGTTTTCCGAGGATCTCCCGGACACTGGTGGGTCCAGGAGTCACAAAACCCGGTGGTGACCCCGCGTCCCCAAACCCAGCGGTGACCTTTTTGGGGATTCCAGGTCGCCACCTGGTATCTCACCACCCGGTTTGGGGGTTCCCAAGAACCGCACCGAATCGAATCGGATCGGAGTCGCAGCCCCTGCGGGCCCAACCGAACTGCACCGGTATCGGACCGTCGGCGGCCCCGGGGGGTGCAGTCCCAGCCCAAGGACTCCGCGCGGGCACCTGCACAGTCGCTCGTGCACCAGAGACGAGGGCAGCAAGTCACAGCCTCCTCCACGTAAGACACGCACGCCGCCTCCTTCTTCATGCCTCGGGGATCTTCTGACCCGGGTCAATCCAGACTTGGGTCAATCAGGCCTGGCAGAACCCTGCAAGATCCTGCACCCAAGCCCGGGTCAATGCGAAGGTCCATGCGACTGATCCTGCAGGATCCTGCACCCATACCCGGGTCAGTGCGACCCTGGCCCTGCAGGATGCTGCAAGATCGGGCGCTCTGGCTGACCTCCGTCTTGGCGGCGCGCACAGAGGGGGCAGGGGGAGGGGGGAAGGCGTCTTGGAAGGAGGCTGCTTCTTAGAATGCGCGGGCCTCACATCTACAGAGAAGGCCCGCGCCTTCTTAAGAAGCAGGGGTGCTTCTGATAAGCAGTCCCCCCTTTCCCCCCACCCAGGGGGCAGGCATGGGTCTTTGGGGGGGGGGGAGAAGGCGCACCGCGAGTCTCTTTCCTTTATTAGTCTTCTTCTTTCTCTTTCTTTACTTCCTTTTCTTCCTTCCTCCTTTTCCTTTGATTCTTAGAATCTAGGAGCCTTAGAAAGGAGGGCTGCTTCTTAGAATGCGCGGGCTCAATGAAATAGAGGGGCCGGCCTCTAAGAAGCAGGGGTGCTTCTGCTAAGCCTGTCCCCCTCCTCCCCCCAACCCCCCTCCCTCCTCTTTTCTCCTCCGCCTCCTCTCCTCCTCCTCCTCCCCTCCTCCTCTCACCTCCTCCTCCTCCTCCGCCTCTGCGCGCCCGCCAGGCCAGGTCCGGCGGTGGGACCCCCCCTGGCGGTCGGCACCCCCCTGCTGCGCCGTGGGACGACCGCTTTGCATTTTCCCCGTCTCTTGAGCCCGAATGCCGTCGCATCCCAGCACGCCGGCCATGTGCTTCAGCTCTCGCTTGAAGCCCTCGCCGCAATAATATATATTATATTATATATAAATATTTATATATATATATTTAGAGAGAGAGAGAGAGAGAGAAAGAGAGCTCAGACGGAGTCAGTGCATCACGACAGACCGTGGGATTCGGACCGCCCACGTCGAAGAAAGGCACAGGGGCACCTGTTCGACTGTAGACGCAGGAGGGCGCTTCACAAGTAGACTGGACAATGAGAGCACGTACAGAACATAGCACACACAGATTTCCAGCGAGTAGCGTGCGTGTTCTTTCTGGGGGAGGGGGGAGGGATACAGAGGGCGACGGATCAGAGGACTGAGACATGCTGATGCACGACGTGACTAGAGCGGCGAGAGTGCTGGGACGCCATAAAGGGGAGGGCGGTGGAGGAGCGATGCGGAGCGAACGAAGAAGTCAAACCGAGGCACAGAAGGGAGCGGGACGAGGAGGGTGGCAGAGGCATGGCGGCGGGCGCATGATAATAGAAACCGCCTGGATGTGGGTGGGAGGGCCACCGCGGGGCAAGGACATCCGCGCCCCCCCCACCCCCTCATCCCACCACTCCCTCCTTCCTCTTACCCACCCTCCCGTGAGAGAGGCCCCCAGAGAAAACACAACACATCAGAACCTCAATGCTGAATCATGAGCCTCGCGTTCGGTCTGACAGTCCCCACGAACACGCGGGCAAATGGCAACGATGCGATATGGGTCAGCGGAGTGCGCGAAGCGATTGGTTTTATGATCAATGAAAAGACAGAGAGAATCCCATGGCGATTTCCAACGAAAGAAAGAAGGACATCGGCCAACCCGCATGTTCAACCGAAAGATCCGTAATGCTCTGAAGGAGAGTTGACTGGGTCCTCCTGTCGCGTGGCCCAAGGGGGGGCACAACAATGTATGTCCTCGTTGCGCATTTGGCGGTGCAGCTGATGCCGCCCCGCAGGAACCACAGCCATGGTGTCTGCCATGGTGAAGGGGCGGTTGAGACGGAGGCTTTTGGCCCTGAGCTTCTTAAAGAGATGGTAAGCCCCAGCAGGGACCTCGAGGGAGCAATCGACTGTGTCCTCCTCCTCCTCCTTCGTGCAACTAGGCAGCGCGGTCCAACCCGCCTTCGCTTGCCAGAATTTTGGCCTTCACGTTGGCCAACTTGCCAGTCATCACCTGTCAAGGGGCGCAGGTGGGCGCGACCACTTGCCATGCTATCTGCCCTGCTGGCATGATCCGTGATCTCGCAGCAAATCACGCCGACCGGTCGCGCGCAAGACGAGGCCAGGACAGCGGACTGGGAGGATCTTCTGAATTGGGGGGTGTTTTGGGCCCACTTGGCCAGCATCTCGATCTCTGGCCCTGAACCTCGAGGGCGGACCAGCCGCGGCCACGAGAGCGCCCAGAGCCTCCCTCCGCCCCCCCCCCCCCCAACAAATAGGCCCAAAACATTGGCATGGGGGCAACGGGTCCTGAGAGAAACGGGTCCTGAGCCCCTCACTTGCTCATCCTGGCCTGCTTTCTGACAGCCCCGGGGGCTCGCGGAGGGCCCCGAGAGCCCGAAGAAAAGGGCGAAAACCGTCAGGACCCGCTTCCCTCAGGGACCCGCCTTCCCCCATGGCAAACAGCACCTCGATCCTGGACATAGGTCGGGCGTGTCCCCCTACAGGCGGATTCTGGACGAAAAATGAGAAAGACGCACCAAGTACCTCAAATGGTAGAAAAATCCTCCCCATACTAGTTTTTGAAGAATTATGTTTGTATATTCCTCCTGTAGAGGGACGTGCCCGACAAAACCTGTTCAACGCGACATCCACTGGCGAGCAACTGCTAACGCCGCAACGCCGGTCTGCTGAGACCTAGCTCCAGCAGAGGCGCGGGGGCAAGCCGAGGGTGGCGCCACTGACACGCCGGCACGAGAAAGGCGCAAATGCGACCACTCGCCATCGCTCGGACGTCCATTCCCTGTGCTTTTTTCGGTTCCGTGCGTGGCTTTTTCGCCAAGTGATCAAGGATGCTCCTCGATGGTCCCCACCGAAGGAAAAATGCACGTGTCCGAGCGATGCCAAGCGCGGGGACAAGCCGAGGGTGGCGCCACTGACAACGCGGGCACGAGAAAGGGCGCAGATGCCACCAGCGAAGGCATCAGAACTCGGCGGTGGACAAACCTCCCTCTAGTAAACCTCCTCTCAGCGAAAACAGCCTGGGACCGAAACCGACGGACCTGGACCCGCAAAAACGACGGCCGCGACGCCCTCTCGCGAAGCGAAAACGGCAAATCCCTTAACCGACGCGTCAGGGTACAGTGCGGGCGCGGCCGCAAGAAACCCTCGCAAAAAAACCCAACCCTGAACACCCGCGCGCGAGGTGCTCTGGAGGGGAAACCTGGAGCACTCTGAACGCAGCAGAGCTCCTCCAACGGCCGCGGGAAGTCGCCGCGCCGCGCGCGGAGCGAAGAGACCCAGGATACCCTGACGAAAAGCATATGGTTTCTTGATGCGCGCCCCCACTGTAGGAGGTCTCTCCACCCCCGAAGATCGG